AACCTCGGCATCCTCAGAGTTGTGCCTACCTGCCTGGCATATCGTTCCTAGCCGGAGTGGGTGCTGTCATTTCTGGATTCTGGGGACTGGCAAAGTGGGGTATGAGTGCCTACCTACAGTCTCTACCTGTCTGAGCTGTGGAGCAAGGGGCAAGGCCCAGGTAGTTCTTCGTGCTTCTAAGCTTGACGCAGAGGAGAGTCCCCAGGTCCTTGCCCAGCTCTGACTAACACGACTGAAAAACAGAAGGACGAAGAGGGATGGGTAGGGGATGTGTGGGACGGGGGTGGGGGGTGGGGGGGACACTTCCTCAGCCCCGTGTGCTTTGCTTCCTGTAAGGAAGGATGTTGATGGCCAGAGGTGAGGGTTGGACAGATGGCCATCTGCTGCCCTGAGGGCTGTCTCTTAGGGGCTAGCTCAGCACTCCAGTGGGGATGCCCAGGTTCCTGTGGGCACAAGGTTGGCACACACCGAGGATGCATTGATGTGGCAGCAGGAATTAGCAAAGGGTAGCAAATTAGCCTCTCCCGCTGCCCCCAGCCCAGTGTCCAAGGCCAAAGCCTGTCTCCCCTCTGCCCCCCTTTCTCATCATTTGAGTTATAGGAGCACACAGCACCCTCTGTTTAAAAAAAAAAAATCTGTAACTCCTGTTGATTAATGTATTTCCTTTATTTCTATCCCACCTCACTCCGGGAGAGAGGGGTTTAAAACTATGTACTAGTTGGGTTTTTTGTTTTTGTTTTTGTTTTTTGTCAATTTGACACAAGCTAGGGTCATGTGGGAAGAAGCTCCTAGTTGAAAAAAAAAAAATACCTCCATCGGACAGACCTGGAGGCAAGTTATTTTCTTGACTAGTGATTGGTGCGGGAGAGGACCCAGCCCACTGTGGATGGTGCTGTCCTTGGGCAGGGGGTCCTGGGCTGTATAAGGAAACAAGCTGAGCAAGCCATGGGGAGCAAGGCAGGGAGCAGTACCCCTCTGTGGGCCTGGAGTTCCTGCCCTGACTTCACGATGGACTGACATCTGAACACGCGCCCCCTTGGTCGTGGTATTTACTTCAATAGAAAGCCAACTGGAACAAACAAGGCAAGGAAACAGGGGTGGGGAGCTGAACAGGAGAGGCAGAAAAACTGGGATTTGAGCTCCCTGTTGGCCCATGCAAAAGGGGAAATCAGTTTTTTGTTTTTTCAAAAACTCAGTCTACAGTTAGGTAGGAAGGCATTGGACACTCCGTGAAAGGTGGCTTTCCGTGGTTCTGTGCCTCACCCACTTGTCCTCACCTAATATTGGGGTCTAATAAATGGCTCGTGCTAGTATTTGCTTAGCACTTGCTGTATTCAAGTCCCCGAGTTCAGTGTTACACTAGTTTATCTCATCGTAAAGACAGGTGCTTACTCAGTTCTCCCGTTGTCGAGCTGAGAAAGCGGAAGGCGCCTTGGATTTCCGGTCATCCTCATCACTCACACAGAAAGTGCAGAGCCAAGACTGAGCACAGGTGGGCTGGCTACGCAGCTCTTGCTCCTGTTCCAGAAGATTCTATCTCTGCTACCGAAACATCTCCACCTGTGCTGGGCCCCACCCTGTGGGCCAGGGCTCAGGCTCAGCTCATTTTTTTTTAATTGAAAAGCTTTTTTCCATACCCTTTATCTTGTGTTCCCCCCCCCCCAATTCCTCCCAGATCCTCCCCACCGCCCTCCCCACCTGAATTTATGTTCTTTTCTCTCTCATTCACTTTCAAAAACAAACAAGGAACAAAAACAAGCAAGAAACACATACAAAAAACCCACAAAAACGAAAATCAAACAAGCAAAAAACCCACAAGAGGAAAAAATAAAAATGCCTAAACAAAGCAAAATGAAACAAAAGGTCCACAAAAATGCCTTTAGTTTGTTTTGTGTGGGCCAAGAACTCCTGGGCATGGGGCCTGTGCTAAAGCGTGATTGATAGACCCAGTGATACTCCACCGGAGAAAATCTGGTCTTCCCTTCGCCATTGGGTATCAGTTGCAGATGGCTTCTTGGTTAGGGGTGGGACCCTGTGTCTACTTCCCGCCTCAGTCCTGGGACCCCATCTGGCTTGAACCTGTGCAGGTCCGGTGTGTGCTGCCACAGTGTCTGTGAGTTCACACGCATCAGTCCTGTTGTGTCTGGGAGACATTGTTCCCTTGGAGCCACCCATTACCTCTGGCTTTTTCTGTTCCCTCTTCTCTACAGACTCCCAGGCCCTGAGGGAAGGAGTTCAGTGAAATCATCCCCACTTAGGACTGAGTCCTCCAGAGTCTCTCACTCGATGCAGACTGTCCACTTGTGGGTCTCTGTGTTAGTTACCAACTACTTCAAGAAGCAGCTTCTCTGATGTGGGTTGGGCAAGGCCCTGATCTATGGGTGTAGCAGTATGCCATTTCGCTGTTATATCCCTTTATCAGAATAATAGTAGTGGGTTCTCCCCTAGACCCATGACCTCTCTAGTCTCAGGTTTGGGGCCACCTGAGCAGTGTTAGGTGTTCCCACTCACAGAGTGGGTCTTAAATCCAGTCCAAAAAGTGGTTGGTTACTCCTACAGTGTTTGAGCCACGACTACACAAGTGTATCTTTCAGGCAAGTCGCTGATGTAGGTGACAGGGTTTATAGCTGCATTGACTTCACCTTTCTCCTCTGGTGATGTGCAGAGTACCTTCTGGGACCATGAACGCTAGTCACTAGGGTGAAGGTTCTAGTGAGGCGCCAGCTTGACTTCTCTGTGTTCACTGGCATAAGTCGGTGCTGTCTCCGGCAACAGGCCCTGACCATCAGGTTGGGGCGAGCAGCTGACAGCCTTGGCAATAGCTTGCGATGTGTGGGCATTCCCATGGGGCCCCTTTGGCCAACAACTCAATAATGTATAAGTCATGCCTAGACTGGAGGTTTTATTTGGTGGCATAAGATGTCGAGTTGAGGTACTGGCTCCCCTATTTGGTGACTCTGTTTACCTTCTTTTCGTGTGTGTTTCTATTTTAAGGAGCGACTGCAGAGTTTTTGTTGTTGTTGTTGTTGTTTATGTATTTCAGATACTCACCTTCTATCAGATGTACAGTTGTTAAAGATCTCTTCCCACTCTGTAGGCTGTTGCTTTCCCCGAATGACAGTGTCCTTTGCCATATAGAAACTTTTCAGCTTTTTAGGTCCCATTCATTAACTCTTGATCTTAATCTTATATCAGACTCAGGGTAGCTGGTCTTCTGTTGAAACCCTTGATGCATTTGGAGTTGAGTTTTGTGCAGGGTGAGAGATACGGATCTATTTTCATTCTTCTACACACAGTCATCCAGTGTAACTGGCATCGTTTATGGAAGAGGCTGTCTTCTCCAATGGTTGTTTTTTACTTCTTTGTCAAAAAATCACATGTCCATAGGTGCGTGACATTGTGTCTGGGTCTTTAGTTCAGTTCCATTGATCAACTCAACTCCATTGTCGACAAGTCTGCCTTCATGCCAGTCCCATGCTGCTTTTTTTTTTTTTTTTTTTTTTTCTGTGTAGCTTTGCGCCTTTCCTGGGACTCACTTGGTAGACCAGGCTGGCCTCGAACTCACAGAGATCCGCCTGCCTCTGCCTCCTGAGTACCAGGATTAAAGGCGTGCACCACCAACGCCCGGCCCCATGCTGCTTTTATTTCTGTAGCTCTGCAACACAACCTGAGTCTAGGATAGGCAGTTCTCCTATCGTTCAGGATTGTTTTAGCTACCCTGCTTGGTTGGTTGGTTGGTTTGGTGTGTGTGTGTGTGTGTGTGTGTGTGTGTGTGTGTGTGTGTGTGTGCATTTCTACATACAGTTGAAGACTGATTTTTCAATTTCTGTAAAGAACTGTATTGGTGTTTTGGTTGGGATTGCATTGAATCCATAGATTGCTATTGGTAGAATGGCCCTTTTCACAATATCACTCCTACTCCTCCACGCAGGTTTAGCTCCTGAGAGCATCTCAGGAGTCTGCCCCCTCTTGGCAGAAGGCAGCTATCAGTACAGTACCTTCTGGGTCAAACCTATCTGAGGTCAGGGTCCAGCCACTCTCTGGATTTTGTGGGTTTCTCAGAGATTTCCTGTATGTATTGCTATGGTTGAAAGTATAATTGATAGGATACTTTTGGATAATTTCTATTTATTTATATATTTACTTATTTTGAGAGAGAGTCTTACTCTGTGGTCCATGCTGGCCTAGACTTCATCATCTTCCTGCCTCAACCTCCCAGGTGCCAGGATGACTCTAGGCTGACATACGCCTAGCTGGTGTTCTTTCCTTCTTCACATTGTGGAGACTTTTGTCCTTCGGGTTTGGGGAAGCAGGAAGACTGAAGAGCCCCCAGCCCCCACCCCAATGCCAACCCATCCCGGAGTTGGTGATCTTATGTGGTCTCACGCATCAAAGAAGTCCCACTGTCTCCCTCACGATCCTCTGCGGGTTCCCCCCATCTCTGGCCCCACACCATTGCCATAGATGTGGCCCGTGCACCAGGGGCATCCGAGCAGATGGCAGGCTCTGCCCTACCTGTGCCTTCTCCTGTGTGGTGGAACAGGGAACAGGGAGTCCTGATTACCTCTCATCCCTACCCTTTCCTGGTCAGAGCCAGTGGGCAGAAATGGTGCCCAGAGTACCACAGGGAGCCAGACAGAAGGGTTCAGAGGCAGCAGCGTGCTAGTGTGAGGCAAAATCCCAGTGACCCTTGAGTCACGGGAAGGGACGGATCATCTTTCTGTTTGCTGTCCTAGTCCTGAGCCTGGCATATAGGAGGAGGTCCTGGTTATTTGGCTTTGTGGATGGATGGATGGATGGATGGATGGATGGATGGATGGATGGATGACAGAAATGAAGCCCCATCCCTGTCTTGATAACAAACTAAAAAGCCCCTAGAGTACAGGGTACTCCCCTGGGGTCACAGCTGATTGGGGCCATGTTACCCCATCGACTATTCATAATTCCGACCTCTGTCAAGTTCACTCTCCACCTCTTTATTTCAGGGCCCCACTGGAAGACCTGGACTCCCAGTAAGTAACTCATTTCTTCTCTCTCTGCCTCCTTTTCATGTGGGCGCTGGGGATAGAGCCCGTGCCCTGGCATACTTCAGGCACGCTCGCACTGAGCCACACCCCGGAGTCGTCGCTCAGTCTTTCTCGGTCCCTTGACTGGCTGGCTTGGGGGGCAAGTTCTTCTCACAGTTCTCTGAGTGTGACCTCCCTCCGGAGTCTTTAATCTGTGGCTGAGGGCAAAACCACACCCATGCCCTCTACTTTGGTACACTGGAGATTACCTGGGGCCTATGGCTACAAGTCCTGGCAACCCTCCTGAGGTGTTAGCAGGCAGGCCCAGCAGCAGACCCTCCCAACCCAGGAGCTGTTGTCAAGATAGAGAGTTTCGTAATGGGGGACTGGAACAAGTGGCCAGTCCCTGGCTCATTCCCACCCTCTTTCATGGTAGATGCCATTCAAATTACTGTTCTAGTCTTCCTGCCGCCCTCTGGTGAAAGGTGGACTCCAAACCTTTGTTCCTCCCCAGTTGCCATAAGAGGGCTGAGTAACCACAGAGACGTTGGACAACAGTGGGTAGAAGTCATGTGACTAGCCATCACTTCCTGGCGCTTTAATAGGTCCCGGGCATTCTGAGCATCCCCAGCCTCGATTGCCTGATAAGTCAGAGAAAAACAGTATCAGCTCGGAGAAGTGGGTCTTCCCCAATCGGAGAAGTGGGTCTTCCCCAATCCATGTCACTGATGGGAAGACAAAGGCTCAGGCTCAGGAGGAGGCGCGCAGCGGTCAACCAGCCCGAGTTTCCCAAGAGCGGATCGTTAGTGAATTATCACCCACCCCCCCCAGCACTGTGCTTCCTTGTGGCCCACGACTGACATTTATTGGAGCGCCATCTTTAAAGTCTCCTAAGAGATTTGTCTGCTTAGGTAAATGAGATGAGGACTGGACATGGATACCGTGGGCTATGGAGCAGGAAGTGGCTCAGACAAGATGCTGTAGCCGTCTAGGGGGTTAAGGAAAGGCATGGATGGCTTTGGGAGTGTGGCATGGAGGAGGCATCTAGGCAGAGTATATATAGAAGGGATTCAGGGGAGGAGGGCTCACAGGGGTACCTTTGATACCTGTCTTCCCAGTCTCCCCTGGCTAAAGGCCACTTCCATTGGATTCTAGAACCTTCTGGATGTGAATTCTGCTATAGCCTTTTGACTAATTCAACAGGCTTCTAGAATCTGTGGCCAATAACTTTGTTAGTCAAGTGCTGAGATTCTCCCAGGGCTGCAAGTGACTCAGTCCAGTGAAATCTAAGCAGGGGGATGGTCAGGTGACTGAGAGGAATGTGGATGGGCTTTTTTTTTTTTTCCCTCTTACAACATCCACCTTTAAAAGGCATTTAGGGGGCGATCCTCAGAGCAGGGACACTGCCGAATTTCCAGCCACTGGCCTTTCCATGCTTGTCCCTTACCCAAGCATTTTATGGCCAGGGCTGCAAAGAACATTATTTTCCAAAAAGAGAGGAAAAATAATCCAAGACCCACACACACCCTGGAATATCATTCAAAAGTCCAAGCTTTAAAATGGTGAATGGACTGTGAGGTCGTCTTCGTCCGTCAGAGCGGACAACAGGCATGGGCCTGGCGTGGCCTTGGTGGGAGGGGCAGATCCGCTGGTTGAGGGTCTGACCTTACATGCCAAGGGCCGTGAGGTGACCTGCTAGCAGGTGCACCCGTGCTGGCCCTTTATTAAGACATAAAGGACAGGAAAAATAAATGTGCATACAGAACCATGGTGCTGTGGGCTTCCGCTTTATTTAGCCCACTTCATTTTGCCCAGCATTCACCAGATGTCAGGTTCTTGGTATAAGGCAGGAGCATCTCACAGGGACCTCAGCAGCCTCAAAGCTGTCACCCCGCCATCTCCCACTCAGTAAGGCTGGTGCTCAGGGAGGACGGGGAAACAGTCGGTGCTTACAACCAGCACTGTGCCATTCTTAGCAAAGGCAGAATGCTTTGCTCATAGATGCCCTTGATCTTGACAATGTAAGCCTAACAGGAACTGACGGCGTTTCTTGTGCATCCCACACATGTCTTGGGATGCCGCTTGTCCCTTGAGGCATTTTGCCTCTGTGGTTGCCTCTTAGGGATCAACAGATCTAGAGTCACCTCAGAATGCCCCCCCCAACACACACACACACCCCTAGGGAAATTTCAGGGCAAACTTCTGTCCAGGATCCTGGACATCATCTTCTATACCCCGTTGCTCCTCATCCTTTGAGGCCCCACCCCAGATTTTTATGATGTCTGCATGCCTATGATTACAAAAAAAGATTTTTCTACTGAAAGGGGGACGCATGAAACTTTGTAAGCAGATTTCCAGAGCCAGAGGATGTAACCCTGGCTACAAAACAAAGCATGTGGATCCACATGCTGGAGCAGCCTTGAAGAGGGGGCAGGGTAGGACACCAGAGCAGGAGAAGGAGAAGCCGGGGAGCATGGGCGTTGCTCCCCACCCCACCCCCCACCCCGCCTCTGGCAGACAGACATAGGGAAGTCATTCGTCCTTGCTCTGTGCCTTCAAGTCAAAGATGATGACTCCTAGGCCCATTTTGGCTATCACTGATGGGCTGCCACAACACAAGCCTAAGGGAGAAAGGGCCTTGGAGACACCTAGGGACACTGAGGCCCAGGCTGATGACCTCCCCTGGCTGTAACCTTTATTCTGTAGCACCATGCTTGAGTGCAGAAAACCATAGGTGAGAGATGAGAAGTCTGGCTCCATCGAGGCATGGAGGTCCCAACACTAGTTAGTGAGGTTTCCTGCAAAGTTCATCCACGACATCCACGTGACACTTGGTGCCACTCCAGATGTTGCCCCAGCTGCCCCAACAAAGCTGCCTAGCTGTGCCTCCAAGCCAGGCCTGCACAGCGCGTGGGACTCTCTGGCGGGTGGCAGCCACATTGACTGTTTCCACCTCCTTCATCAGGGGAACAAGGGTGCCATTGGGATGCCTGGACGTGTGGTGAGTTGGCCCACATGCCCCTGCTTGCAGGGTGGCCATTGCTTGCTTCTCCATGCTGGCTTGTCCTCCATGCATGGTGAAATGCTGCCCAGGGCAACTTCAGCAAGGCCAAGGAAGGAGAGGGGAAGATATTTTATTCCAGTCTCCAGTCTGTTAAAAAAAAAAACAAAACAAAAAACAGCATCTTGCGGTTCATCTGCAACACACAACTTCAGTTCCTAGAGTCCGATATTTCAAGAGAGACCACATCTGCCCAAACCTCTTAGGAAATATTGTTACACTTGTTCTATTTAATACAAACCATTGCTTTTAATTTCTCACCGGGCTGTAGTACTTAAGGTCCCAATGCCAGCCAGGGTTTCTGCCACCTACCGAGGGCTTGTTGGAATGTGTCCTTGGAGACGCAGGGACTTGGTACTCTGCAGAACACTGGACAGCAGAGAGAAAAATACAAGAAAGTCGCTGAACACACAGAGGGGGATGGAGTGAGAGCTGAGTACCCCAAGGCACCAGCTGCCCCCGCAACCATCCCCAGAGCCGCCACCGTCTCCCACAAGCGCCCTCCGTGGATGGGTGCTACACTCCGAAGTAGTGAAGACAGGGCTTGGTACCAGGGAGTCCCTCTAGGTCCTCGTGAGGGCGATACAGTTCCTGTTTCCTTTGTGAAAAGAAGTGAGGAAAGCGTTCAGGGGACACAAGAGTGGTTGGTCAGAAGACATGAGAAGGGCTGAATCCAGGCCTTGAATCCCTGGCCCCTGGATTGTCCTGTCAGCCTCAGGATGAAGGTCTCCAGGGCCTAGAAAGCCAGAAGCCTGAGCGGGCGAAGGGCATGCCCACATTAGGATGTAACCAGGACATGGATCTAGTCGGGGCTGCCCTCCTCATCTGACTGCTGACTACCAGCACCAGCCTTCACCTCCAGCATGCTCCCGCTGCCACATGCTGGCTTTGCCTGTGACTCTCGTGTCTGTGACAGGATTGGCCTTAAGCATGACTGTGACATCTCTGTGTGTGAATCTGCATGGCTGGAGCAAGCATGGATTTGGGGCACCCCGGGCTTAGGTCACTCTTGCTAGTACTGACATCACATTGGGGTATTGAACCAAACCGAAGAGCCTTCACGTATCAGCTCATTCAGTCCTCGAAAGAACGGCATGCTGAGAGGCACAATTTCCACCCTGCCCCCAGTACTCGGGATAAGAGAGCCAAGGCTTGGAAGGTAAAGATCTCAAGGTTCTGCACTAGGAAGTGAGTAAGCAGGTACTTGAATGCAGGCAACCAGGCTGGAAATTTGGGCCCTTGATCCTGGCAGTCCACTCATAATATCACAGCTGAAAGGAAGGGCTGGCCTTAAACTGATGCCTCAGAGGCCTGGAACATTCCAGAGTTCAGTACAGGTGCTCCATGCATCCCGAGCTGTGAGGCCACCTCTATGGTGCTGGGGGTCGCATTAGTTGATGTCATTTTGTCCAACATTTACCGAGTTCTTAGCATAGGGTTTCCCAGAGTGATAGCTCGTGGGGACCTCAAAAACTTCAAAGCTCTTGCCCACTACTCCCTCACCGCCCCCCCCCACACACACACACACTCAACAAGGCTTGTTACCTTGGAGAGTGGAAAAACATTCAGTGTGTACAAACAGCCTTGTGCCATTCTTTAGTATCATAAGGGCTACGAGACCTGTCCGAGTGTGGGAGTCCTGGCCCCCTCCATGGAGTCCTCACACTGGTTCTAAACCAGGACACTGGGCATTGTGCCTGCCCTATGGTTCCACTCCATCAGTCTACCCATTTGACAGCGGGTCCGTATGCGCTGTCACCGGATCCCATCCAGAGATGAGACATTATTACCCTTCCATCCTTCCGCAAGTCATTGTGTTGAGTACCCGGAAGTGAAACACAGCCTTAAAGATAGATCCCATTGGATGGGTAAAATCTACCCAGGAAGCGCACAAAGTCAGTTAGGTAAGTGTTAGGAGCTTTTCCCCTTGGGTGCAGCAGCTGACCTGCAGGAAGTCCCCCGCTGAGTGCAAAATGTACTTCCGCCACTCCTTCTTGCCCTCGCCGGGCCGCCCCCCCTCCCGCCCCCACCACCAGTGCTTCCTGTGTGGTGGCAATGGGAAGAGGTAGGGGAGTCACCGGAAGCCTCCCACCTCCCGGGCAAAGCTTTCCAGCCACTTTGGAGCTCCTCACGGGCTGGTGCTATTTTAAATGTAGGATGGCCCATTTGGCTGCTCACTAGGGGTCCTGGCATAAGCCACTTGATAAGGACTGAAGTGTCCAGTGACCAGTAGGTGTGAAATTCCTGGGTCATTCCCGTACTTCACCAGAAGTGGCGCCCCTGGCCAGTTTAGAGCTGGGTAGATAGAAGCTGCCTCTCCATTGGCCACTGCGATGACAAGGGACCCCTGGCTGGGTATTCAGCTTTCTTTGTCTACCAACTCACCCTCCATCCTCGTAGAATTTGTGTCTCCTGCTTCCTACCAATGCCGCCATTATTATTATTATTATTATTATTATTATTATTATTATTATTATTTTATTATTATTATTATTTGGCAGTACTGGTGATTGAATGTAGGGCTTTGAGCTTATGAGGCAAGCATCCATCCTCCTACTGAGTTCAATCCTCTGCCCTCTTTAGACTTTATCTTTGAGACAGGATCTCACAGAGTTGGCCCTAGCTGGCCTTGAACTCACTCTCTAGTTCAGGCAGGCCTTGAATTTGTATTCTTTCCTGCTTCAGTCTCCAGATGGTTGGGATTATAGGCCTGAGCCACTCAGGCCTGGTAGCCACCTTCTGCCCCTCCCTACCCCCCTAGCTCCCGCCCCCGCCCCCACCCCCGCCCCCACCCCAGCTCCCGCAAGTCTCTAGCTTTCCCTCTACCTGGCATGTGTAGCCCTAAGGGCTCCAGTCTTACTTCTGTAAGTACAGAGTAAATACAGCGGGGCTTTGTACTTGGTGCTCAGAGGGACCTTCAGAGCTCCTGGGGTCCGTGATCACAGGCCTTGGGAACTTCTTCCCAGCCCTGGCCATAGCCCATTGGACCTGGGCTACCCAGGGAGATTTTTCTGACTGTGTTGGGTTTCTCTTTCTCTCTGTCCCTCTGCCTGGGTCACGCTCGCTCGCTCACTCACTCACTCGCTCGCTCACACGTGCACACAGCACTTGGACAGGGTCCCCTGTTTCTCTCCTAGTGATGTAGAGCAGCTGGCCGCGCTTGCTGGCTGAGATGGCCGTCGCGTGTCTGCATCTGTGTTCTGTTGTGCTGTGTTTCTTATTTCCCAGTGATTTTTTTTTTTTTCAGTTGCTGCGCCATTAACACAGATTCTTGTGCCCGTGTCTGTCTCTCATCTTTTTTTCTCTCTCCCCCCCCCCTTTTCTACCCCTTGCCCTGTGTTCCGTGGGGCGGCGTGCC